AAGAAGAATGTTCATAGTTGGCGCGACTTAGATGGCCGAGCAGAACCTCTCCACGCTCGCCCATGTCCTCTCAAGCCGCCCAACACACCATCCCATCTCATTCCATCTGCATCTCACCCATCCCACCTCACCACACTTGCATTCCATCACTACCATCATTCCACTGCATTCACCATTCTTCAAGTAACACAAATCAGGTTACATCTTTCTTTTTACATTCACAACCACTTTATTACCTCTTTCTTTAACTCCCTTAATTGGATTTTCTTTCACCGGGACGGTGCAAGTTAAGTCTGGGGGGATTGTCGGTACTAATGTGTTTGTTCATGGTTGTTTTGATCTTATAATTGGTTTTTCCTAACCCACTTTTTCAAAACTTCTGTTTTATTGAGTCAAAACCAGTCCGGGAACAATGAACTTGCTTTGAGATTTGATAGTGTTATGCTAACAATCTATGACCCTAGAGCAAACATCAGCTGAAGGCACAAGCCTAACAGAAGCTCCTAGAGTGGATCAGCATGCTAGCTCAGCGAAATTTCTAAGGTAACCAAGCAATCTAGAGTTAACCTCACCCTTAATCAATCTTAATAACTCTTGTCAAGGGGATTGGCATACATGTCGACAGTTCCTTGCTTGATTTTCAATGAGATTTGTCTAAAGAGTTCACCTCTCTCTCCCATCCCAAATGGTAAGTAATGTTTATGAGAAAAGCTCAAAGAGCACAAGGAAAACAAGTAAGCATGAGGAATGCATATGTCTGTACCTTCATGTCTTATGGAATACCTAAATCAAACAAGGAACAAGCTAAAGACTTATCCTGTGGTTGAAAGAAAGGTCAATAGAAAAAATAAAATGATACCCTAGAAAAGTAGGGAGAAATTGACCTTTCAAAGTTCTGATGTGAGAAAGAGAGAGGAAAGGAACTCATTGCACTTCAAAGACAATCTTGGAGAAGATCAAGTGGGTAAGAACAAGTTCAATTGATCGATTTTCCCTTGATAAAGAACTCACGCTTTAAATTTCTGCAAGAGGTTAACAATAGAGAGTTTGGATTGCTGGATGAGACTAGTTGGGTTGGTATTGTTGCTAAACTTGCAGGGTGTATGTGAAGCTAACCTTATGTTGACTATGTTCTTAGTGGAATACAGGAAAGGAACCTTTCACAGGATTTTCAAAGAAGCAAGAGAGTTCCCACGTTTTTCAAAACCTCTTCACTAGTTTAGATTCTTTTTGCTTGGGGACAAGCAAAGATCTAAGTCTGGGGGAGTTGATATACCTCTATTTTACCTACTTTTTATGCTATTTTACTATGGTTTTCTAATGGTTTTCTAGTGGATTCTTGTGTTAAAAGGTAGTTTTTATGGATTTATAGTGCAAAGAGTCATTTTAGGTAAAAAGGTGCATTATGGAGCAAAACAGGAGATTTGGACTCTAAACCAGTTCAATGCCCCTGCATCAACTTTGGATGGAGCTAGAAAAAGATCTACTCAATGGATTTCATCAAGACCAGTTCCCTGCGTGCTCTGATTGAGTTAACTTTCCAACGCAACTGGAATGGCTTCATTTGGATGAGTAGAAAAGGAGTTATAGCCAAAAGAGTGAAGGCTGCTCCAGACGGCCATATCGAGAATCAGCGCCCGAACGCGCAGTCCGGCTGGCCGAGGAACGAATGTTCCGCGCTCGGCCAAAACCGTATTTCCGTCCGACTGAAGTCTCGGCCAAAGTCCAAACCACTCGGCCGATCACACATCACGACCCGGGAAACATTGTCCCGCGGTCGGCCAAGCCAACGCTTCACGCCACTCCGCGCACGACCAACGCGCGCGAGCCGGGGAACAAGCCTCGCGGCCGCGCAACTCACTTCGCGTACCACGGCCGATGCATCCGTCCGAGCCGGGAAGAACGTCCCACGTCCGGCCGAGAAACCATCGGCCAAATTCATCCGCCCGACCAGCCGGCCGACCGTGAAATCATCCGGCCCCGACCGTTCCGACTCGGCCAAAGACCCGACTGTCCGGCCGACCGTCCCGACGACCGTCCGAACGCCGCGGTCGACCCGAAGCCGTTTTTGAAGCCCAATCCGCACAATTCAAGCCCAAAGCCGGCGCCGACCTAGCTAGATTAGGTTTAGCCGCCTCTCATACTTAGAGCATTATAAATACTTCTTTTTAGCCTTGTAACTCAAGAAGGAGAGAGACCACATCTATTTTACATCTTAATAAAGTTTTGCTTGCTTTTACTTTGTTCTTGCTTGTTACTCTTTCTAGAGAGGATTCGAATCTCTGTTCTTATGAATATGAATTCGTTTCCTTCTCTATGTCTGAGTAGTTTACTTGTTAAGTGATAGGAAGTCAAAGGATAGCATTCATGTATGCTTGATGATTGATCACAATTAGGGTTTTACTTATAATCTCCATCTTTGCTTATACTTAATGCTTGTTGTTAATCTGGCCAATTAGCATATGCCTTTAGGTTGATTTGAGCCTCGACAGTGCTGTATCATTCGCCTGAACTAGTATTTGGTGGGCAATCTCTTTTAGACTGCGACAGTTGATCTACTTGTAGGTTGTGAACAATTGATCTTGATCGAACTAATGCTTGATTTAATCACCTAGGGACATACCAAAAGTTTAGCGACTAGGTAGATTAACAAAGGGGTCGGAGCCTCGACAGTGGAATGATCATACCATAGTGTTTCAAGTTCTAGATTAGCACCTAAGTGCGGTAACCCTAATTGATTGATTTCATGCTTCTTGAATTGCTTATCTCAAGACTATCCTATTGCTTAGCCTTTCTCTCCTATTGAATTCTCACTTTTATTACTTGCATGCTTTACTTTCTCTGCACTCAACCAACTTATACTTTTGCCCTAGCTTGTTCTCAAACTCATAACTTGTAGTGTGCAATCTGGTCCTTGTGTTCGATACCCGTTTACTACTTCTGACCTGTGCACTTGCAGAATCAGGGATAGGAAAGGGGAAGACCTGATCCCGCACATCACTGCTCTAGGGTCATGGATTGTTAGCATAACACTCTCAATTCTCAAAGCAAGTTCATAACTTCCGGACTGGTTTTTGACTCAATAAAACTTTTTGAAAAACTCAAAATGACTAAAACATAAGAAAAGAAAGAAAAATGCATTAGTAACACAATAAAACTCCCCCAGACTTAACTTGCACCGTCCCGGTGAAAGCAAATCACATTAAGGTGAGAGGTAATATTCAAAACAAAAGAAAATTAAAGAAAGAAATGACCTTCAATGGGTTGCCTCCCATTCAGCGCTTTGTTTAAAGTCTTTAGCTTGACTGTATGGCACTTCCTTAAGGATCTGGTGGATCGCCAAGAGCTAGTGTGGTCTCCTGTGGTATGGTGGTGGAGGCTAGGTAAGGTTTTAACCTTTGTCCATTGACTGTAAAGTCTCCTCCCATCGGATCCCATAATACCACTGCTCCATTGGGGCGAACTTCTTTAATCCTGAATGGTCCTGACCATCTTGAGCGAAGCTTTCCTGGAAAGAGTTTCAACCTTGAGTTGAATAGTAGAACTTGGTCGTTTGGCGCAAAGTTCTTTGGGATGATCTTGCGGTCATGGAAAGCTTTGGTTCTCTCCTTATAGATCTTTGAATTCTCATAAGCCAGATGCCTAATCTCATCAAGCTCATTCAGCTGAATCAATCTTCCTTTCTCCTGCTGTCTTTAGGTTGAAGTTCAACTCCTTAATAGCCCAAGCTGCTTTGTACTCAAGCTCCACTGGTAAATGACATGCTTTACCATAAACAAGATGAAAGGGGGTGGTACCAAGTGGTGTTTTGAAAGCAGTGCGATATGCCCATAGAGCATCATCAAGTTTGGCACTCCAATCCTTTCTTGTTTTGCCTGTTGTCTTCTGAAGTATGCTCTTGAGCTCTCTGTTTGAGATCTCAACTTGTCCACTAGTTTGGGGGTGGTAAGGAGAGGCAACTTTGTGAGTAACTCCATGCTTCTTCAAAAGGTTGGCAAATATTCTGTTTATGAAATGTGAACCTCCATAAAGGGGTAGTGATCCTTGCGCGTGGAAGAGTTCAGCTTCCTGTAGTCGACACACATTATGTGTCCAGTGATTGTCCTTGTTGGAATGAGCTCATCATGTTCATTCTTGATGACTGTGATCCCTCCTTTCTTTGGCACGACATGTACAGGGCTGACCCATGCACTATCTGATATTGGATAAATCACTCCAGCCTTTAGCAGCTTCATTATCTCCTTCTTGACAACTTCCTTTAGGTTGGGGTTTAGCCTCCTTTGGTGTTCAATTGAAGAACTAGACTCATCCTCCAGGATGATGCGATGTGTGCATAGTTCAGGTGAGATTCCTGTTAAATCATCCAAAGAATAACCAAGAGCCTTTCTATGCTTTCTCAGTTCGCGAACAAGTAAAGCGGTCTCTTCTTTTGTTAGTGCAGCATTAACAATAACAGGATATGTTTCATTAGGACCAAGATATTCATACCTTAGACCAACTGGGAGTTGTTTTAGCTCGGCTTTTGGAGCTCTAAGTGGGCACCATGGGTCGAACTTAACTTTGGTTTGTGATACTTCCTGACTCTTGTCAATGTCTGGCTCTTCCTCTTCTCTCTCTAAGTCCATATAAGCTATCAGCTCTTTATAAGCTTCCTTGAATCCATGAACTTGACTAAGCATTGAGCTTCTCTTTCCATGTATCCATACTCATTCTCAGCCTTTGTCAAAGCTAGCTCCAAGGGATCAATAAGAAGGAGTTCATCCAGCACTTCTTCTCTTGTCTCTGCGAGCTCTCCAATCCAAAAAGCTTGACCATCTACAGTTGGTTTCTCCATAGACTTGTTTACTTCGAAATTCATCACTATATCTCCAAGATGCAAGTCAATCTTTCCATTCTTGACATCTATTATAGCTCCTGCAGTAGCTAGGAATGGCCTTCCCAAGATAAGAGGGTCTTTAGGTTGGTGTTCCAGCTCAAGAACTACAAAATCAGCAGGGATGTAGCAATCTCCAACCATGATTGGAACATCCATAATAACACCAACAGGGCGGCGAACAGATCTGTCTGCAAAGACTAGAGAGATCTTTGTAGGTTTGAAGTCAGTGATGCCCAATAGCTTGGCCACTGAGTAAGGCATTAGGTTCACACTAGAACCCAAATCACAAAGTGCTCTATGGAAGTGTGTAGAACCGATCTTGCAAGACAAAACAAAACTCCCTGGGTCGTTCAGCTTCTCTGGCATGCGATTCTGAAGTATGGCACTACACTCCTTTGTAATCATCATTGCTCCTTCTTCAAGACTCAATGAAAGGTAACCTTACTGAAAGTTGGCTAACAAGATCCTTGAGCTTTGCTTGCTCCTTCTCCTTCTTGGGTTGAGAAAGAACATTTCTGTATGGGATCTTTGGCTCATACACTCTTGGTTCTTCAGGTGGCTTCTCCACTTCCTCCTGAGTTCCTGGTTCTATTCTGACATGGACTTCCTTAGGTGGTTCAGTCCCATCTCCAATGATAACATACTCCATTGGTTTCTTCTTGATTGGCGGTTTGCTTCCTCTTGATCTGGGTATGCTGGTGGTTCATACCCTTTTCCATTCCTAAGAGTGATAGCTGCTACAGCTGCTCTCCTTGGATTGATTTCCACTTTTCCTGGTAGCACACCTTCTTCTCTCTTAATAGAGCTGGCTATGTTGGCAACTCTAAGATCCAAGTCTCTTGTGAAAGAAGAAATAGAATCCAACTTCTCATTCAATCTGTGAAGGCTGACTCCAATCTCTCATCAATCAAGGCTGTATGCTCTCTATGAGAACTCTTGATGAAAGTTATCAAATCTTCAAAATTGCTCCTTGGCTCCATTCTTCTCTTGTGAGGTGGTTGCTGATAATTTCTTCCTCTATGAACATCCCTCTTCTCATTGGGTGATTCTTGAGTAAAAACATCATGCTCTCCCTTCCAAGCTTCTTCTCTATGTGCTGATCCATCTATTCCAACAAAGTTTACTTCTTCTTGGAAACTTGGAATCAAATCTCCAAAGTAATCTTGAATTATTGTGGATTCAACTCTATAAGCTTCTCTTTGTCTCTCACTTCTCTTCCTTGGTTTCTCAGTATCTCAGCCATCATGGCTTTGATTTCGCTGTATCCATCTCTGTATGGATCAGAATTTATGGCCTTCACTGCTCTCTCATGCCCAATGAAGTTGTCACTGTCGCTTGAGGCTAGATTTTCAATCAAAATCTTTGCTTCAGTAACTGTCTTGGTCATGAAATTTCCATTGCTGGCTGTATCAAGAGAAAATCGACACTTCCCACTTATTCCTCTGTAGAAAATGTTCCATAGACTGCCCTCAGATAGCCCATGGTTAGGACACTCTCTTGTATAGTCCTTGAAAGCGCTCCAATGCTTCATGAAAAGGCTCCACCGGCCCTTGTTGGAAACTAGAGATCTTTTCTCTCAACAAGTTTGCTCTCTGCTTTGTGAAAAAGTGACCTAGGAATGCCACCTTGTACTCTTTCCATGTGGTTATGGATTGAGCTGGAAGAGACTTAACCCAGCGCAAAGCCTTCCCTGTCAAAGTGAAAGAGAATAGTTTGCACTTTAAGTACTCCTTGGGCGCACCTCCTGCACTGATGGTGCCACAGATTTCTTCAAAAGCATCAATATGTTCCAAAGGATTCTCCTGGGGTTTTCCTTGGAACTGATTTTGTTTCACCAAACCAATGATCTCCGGTGAAATCTCATAGCTTCTTCCTTCAGGAAGTGGCGGCTGGATGGGATTCCGATCGATTAGTAGTGTTGGATTGGAATCGAAGTCTCCCATGACTTCTTCATTGTGTCACGCCTCCATCATTTGGCGCGATTGTGCGCGGCGTGGATCCGGCGGATCTTCATGTTGCTCGGCCACGCGATCTCTCTCGCGGCCAAGTTCTCTCTATCCTCTTGATCGTCTGAATCACTCATGTTAGAGTCCTTCTTTCAAGCTTAGTACCTGAAAGGATAGAGGCAAGATTCTTTAAATAAAAACAGTAAAAAGAAAACAAAAGTTGAAAAGTTTGCAAAAACAAAAAGGAAAAACGAAATTCTAGGCTAGACTATAGTTGGGAACTCGAAGGTAGCTGTATTGCTCCCCGGCAACGGCGCCAAAAACTTGATCGCGGGATCAGGTCTTCCCTTTTCCTATCCCTGATTCTGCAAGTGCACAGATCAAAAGTAGTAAACGGGTATCGAACACAAGGAGCAGATAAGTACACTTCGAGTATTGCAAGTCTAATATAGCTAGAAAACAAGTATGATTTAGGGTTTTGATTGTGTACAAGAAATCAAACAGCAGTTAAACGGTTTATGAAAATCAATAAAGGGAAACGCTAGGCAATGAGAAACTCGCAGAGATTCAAGGTTAACAAGATATTAGAAGGTTCGCTAGGGTTTGCGCTATCTAGAACTCAGGTCACGATTGTATGATCTTTCCACTGTCGAGGCTCCGACCCCTTTGTTAATCTACCTAGTCGCTAAACTTTTGGTATGTCCCTAGGTGATTAAATCAAGCAATAGTTCGTTCAAGACCCAATTGTTCACAACCCCGCATAGATCAACTTTCGCAGTCTATGAAGTTTTGCTCACCAAATACTTAGTTCAGGTTATATAGCAAGCTTTTGGAGAGTATATGAAACCTAAGATCTGATGCTAGTTGATCAGAAAAGCAAGCAGCAATGAATTCAAGCAGAGGCGAAGATGCGATATGATAAACCCTATGTGACTTCTAACAACCTATCAAACCATGAACTCTTTGATAGATCTCACAACCTAACTAGTGAATTACTCAGACATAATCAAAGCAAAACACAAAGAGATGAAGAAAACATGATTGCAATAAAACTCAAAGTATGAAATTGAATACAAGGCGGCGGCTCTCTTTCACAAGAGGCTAAAAATCTATATATATAGTGCTAGGTCTTCTAGAGGCGGCTTAGGGTTAAGCCGGGCTTGAAAATATGAAATTGGGCTTCAAAAAGGGCTTCGGGTCGACCGCGGCGTTGGGACGGTCGTGCGGGACGATCGGCCGGACAATCGGGTCGTGGCCGAGTCGGAACGGTCGGGGCCGGATGGATTCACGGTCGGCCGGCGTGGTCGGCGGATGAGATTTGGCCGATGGTTTCTCGGCCGGACGTGGGACGTTCTTTCCCGGCTCGGACGGATGCATCGGCCGTGGTACGCGGAACGGGTTGCGCGGCCGCGAGGCCTTGTTCCCCGGCTCGCGCGGCATGGTCGTGCGCGTGCGGCGTGGAGCTTGGCTTGGCCGACCGCGGGACAATGTTTCCCGGGTCGTGATTGCGTGATCGGCCGGTCGGTTTCGAACTTTGGCCGAGACTTCAGACGGACGGATATGATTTGGCCGAGCGCGAAACATAGTTTCTCGGCCAGCCGGACTGCGCGGTTGGGCGCTGTTCTTCGATAGAGCCGTCTGGACAGTCTCCACTCTTTTGGTTATAACTCCTTTTCTACTCATCCAAATTAGGCCGTTCCAGTTGCGTTGGAAAGTTAACTCAATCAGAGCACGCAGGGAACTGGTCTTGATGAAATCCATTGAGTAGATCTTTTTCTGGGCCCTCTTAAAGTTGGTGCTTGTGCATGGAGCGGCTTGAAGTGCAAATCCTATGGTTTTGCTCCAAAATGCATCATTTCACCTGTTTAGACTCTAGACACTATAAACACAGTAAAACTACCTTTTTAGATAGAAAACCTGCCAAAAACCATTAGAAAACAATGCTAAAACAGTATAAAAAGTGGGTAAATTAGAGGTATATCAACATGTATGCCAACCCCCTTGACAAGAGTATTAAGATTGATTAAGGTGAGGTTAACTCTAGATTGCTTGGTTACCTTAGAAATTTTGCTGAGCTAGCATGTCGATCCACTGTAAGAGCTTCTGTTAGGCTTGTGCCTTTAGCTGGTTTCTGCTCTAGGGTCATGGATTGTTAGCATAACACTCTCAATTCTCAAAGCAAGTTCATAACTTCCGGACTGGTTTTTGACTCAATAAAACTTTTTGAAAAACATGAAACAAAGTGAATAAAACATAAGAAAAGAAAGAAAAATGCATTAGTAACACAATAAAACTCCCCCCAGACTTAACTTGCACCGTCCCGGTGAAAGCAAATCACATTAAGGTGAGAGGTAATATTCAAAGTAAAAGAAAAATAAAGAAAAATTCATTAAAATGATAGGGATAGAAAATGGAGATTTGTAAGTGTCCATTGCACTAAGTACCACTTGAGATGACTATGTGTGGCAGTGAGAAGAACTCTCTTCCTCATCTATGGGGTCATCGCCTTCTGAACCAAGCTCTGAGTCTAGTGAGAACTCACCAAGGTCAGGCTCATATGGCTCTCTAGCGGTGGAAGAAGGGCGAAAGAGTCTCTCCGGTGCAATGTGGCGAACTACACGAACTAGGCGTGAGATGAAGCGAGATTGGCATTCCACTATCTTCTCCAGCTTGTTAACACGGTCTAGAGCTTGGTGCGCGGCCATGCCAGTAGTGAGAACATGGCGTTCTTGGTGGCGGCGTTGAGTCTTGACTGCATGCTGAAGTGTGCGATAGGTGAGCATGGGGAATGATGGTTTCTCACTTGATGGAACATAGAAGTCTTCCTCATTGGGCTGGAAAGTGACAACTCCTGAGCGTAGGCTTGGGATGTCTTCATGTGGCAGCAAGACAAGGGAAGTGTTGGCTGGACCAATTGGAAACTCATAGCAAAACCGAGTTGGGTCTTTAGTCCAACGGTTTAGGAAGTGGATGTGCTGAAGAGCATGGAGATCCAAAGGGGTTGGCTTGGGTAGTGGCTCATAGTTGGGAATGTCAATCCCCACATGCAGTACTATGGCCGTGATAAGCCTCCCAAAACGAACACAAAGCTTCTTGTTGCCTTCCAAGTCTTTAGAGCTAGCTTCCTCACATTGATGAATGTCTTGGCAAGTAAAAGTCCAAGGTTGGCCTTGTACTCATGCTTGATGAATGGTGTGGTGAGGATGTAGAACTCATCAGTTGTGACCTTGTTGGCTTCTTGTTTGCATTGGAAAGTGGTGGAGATGAGGCGGTGCACATAGCGAATGGCTGGATGAGTGATTCTAGACACCTTTGATCTTGAAGGCAAGAATGGTTCATTGGCAAAGTGTGTCCAATCAGCAAAGGCAGCTTGTTTCCTCTTTGAGTTCTCCTTGAAGTCATGTGCTGTCTCATTGGGAAGTCCAAAGAGTTGGCATAGAGCTGAGATGGAGATGCGCCCATTGGCATCGCCTATCTTGAAGAGTAGGAGTCCATCACCAGCTGGTTGGTCTCCATTGTGGTTGGGAAAGGCAAGAGCTACTGTGGAGAGGAACTCCTTGGTGAGTTGTGAGTACTCACTACATTCTAGCTTGAAGAGCTTGCTCAAGCCTAGCTTCCTTATGTACCATGTGACATCATCTCTTATCTTGAGAAGGTCAAGGGTTTGGGTGTCCATCTTCACACAAGGTTCGATGTTCACCTTCTCCATTGCCTTCTTGCACTTTCTTGGGTCTTGGATTTGTTCTCCAACAAAGGTTACAAGTGCCCAATCATCTTCTCCTTCTTGGACTCTCCACATGTTCTTGACTTGCATCAATGGAATGTGGTGAAGTTGGTATTGCTGCTCTTGCATTGGAGCTACTACTCCCTAGCTTGATTTGCTTCTTTGGTGGTTCCATGAATGGGTTCTTCTTCTTCTTCATACTCTCATTTCCTTTTGTCTTTGCCATTGGGTACCTACAAGAGCAAATTCTTGGGAAGAAATATGAGTTTGTGATTAATGCAAAAGAAGAATAAGCTAATTGAGTTGTAATAATGATATGGAATAATGGAACAACTCAAGGCTTAATCATGAATCAAAGAGACAAAATGAAATTTCACTTTTTCAAAGTTAATTTTCGGATTTTACTGTTCATCCCAAGATTATGGTGCTTAAAATCAAAATTTTCAGCAAATCAAGAGAAATTGAGTTTCTAATCCAAGTAATCACTAGATAAACTAATGAATTGAAGCATGCCTAAGCAATTTCACCTTTGAATAAGGGGTTTGGAATGCCCAATAAGTTTTGTGAAAAACTATTCAATTGTGAAATTAAACTTCAAATTAACTCTAAACCACCTAGGTTCCACCTAGCAAAGTTCATTACAAGACTAATAAGGATGCTAATTTCAAGTCTAGACAAGAGTTTAGACCAAACATGAAACTTATTGAAATTTTCGATCTTGCATAAACATAGGATTAGAGTTAGAAGACATACCTTGTGTGTTGAAAAGTGAATAAGGTTGCAAGAGCAAGTAAATTCCAATTTAGAGTTATGAACAGTAAAAGTTTTGAAATCAAAACTCTTAGAGTTCCTCTAATGGAGTTTAGGGTTTTGGAGAAGAAAGAGAGGTTCTTGTGTTTTCAAGGGAAAGGTGAAGTAAATAAGATCTAAATCCTATCAATTTTCCTTTTCAAATTCGAATTTTGATTGAAAACCGGTTTAAGTTGGTTTAGATTGGTTAAAACCGGTTTGAATTAAATGAAAAGGGGACTTACCTTGGCCGAGAAAAGTTTGGGCCGATGGCCGATGGATTTTCGCGGTCGAGCGATTTGGTCGGCCAAATTTGTTTGGCGAGAGATTTCGGCCGAGGCCGAGCGTTTGTTTCCCGGATCGACCGGCACGGTCGGTCCGTTCCGATACAAAATCGGCCGATCGCGGCCTTTCTTTCCCGGTTCGTGCGTGCGCGCGAACGGTTTTGTCGCGCGATAGAGTGAATCCGGCCGAGCACGCTTCCTTCCCGGCTCGACCGTAACGGTCGGCCAGATTGGAATTGCTCGGCCAAAATTCTCTTTTGCGCGTCCGCGGCCAATGTTTTGGCGCGGATTGTGTTTTCACACCTTTTTCTCCTTCTATCCTATCTTAAAACAAAGAAAACACAAAAGCAAAACAAAAACTAAGAAATTTAAAGAAAGAAAAGTAAAAGTACCTCATGGGTTGCCTCCCATGCAGCGCTTGTTTTAAGTCTTTAGCTTGACTGTAAGGCTTGGCGCTCAGGAGAAGATGGAGACAAGAGGCATCTTTGATCCTCCAAGTCTTTTCTCCTTGCAATGAGTATCTGGTGGGTGATTCACAGCTGGATAGACAATCTCTCCATGAATGTCCCTTGGCACTACTGCCTTAGGAAAAAGCTTTAGAGTTCTTGTCACTTTCTCCTTGAATCCTTCTAGATTCTCATCAATAAGCTCCTTTGGGAATAGAAGCTTCATGTTGCGGCCAGACCTAGGCTTTCTAACCTTCCTTCTTGGCTTGGCCTCATCTTCAATCTTGGTTGATCCCTTGGGCGGTTTTGGTGTAGGGGCCTTAGTCTTACTCCTTGCTTGTTTGGCAAGCTGCTTGGGCTTAGGAATGGGATCTTCCTTGATTGTTTCTTCAGTTTCTCCTTCTTGGGGTGGCTTCAAAGTAGCTTTCTCCTCTTGGACCATGTCAACAAAAGAGTTCTTTGTTGAACACATAGGGAAGAACATACCCTTGTTCACCTTGTTGAAAGAGATTCTTTGATTGGGGAAATCAAATATGGCACCCACAGTAGACAGGAAAGGGGTTCCAAATATGAGAGGTCTATGGCTACTCTCTCTCATTTCCACAATCTGGAAATCAGTAGGGATAGAGCAATTTCCAATCTGCACCATCACATTAGGCACAAAGCCATAGGGGTTTGTGAGAATGAATCAGCATAGTTGATGGAGATGGATGATGGCTCTATCTTGGTGAGGCCTATCTTGTCAGCTATCCTCTTAGACATGATGTTCACATTGGCTCCTGTGTCACACAAAGATTGCTCAAGAATGTTACCTTTGATGATACAAGGCACAGCAAACTTTCCTGAGTTATCTGTCTTGGGGATAATCTTTGGGAAGACTCTTCTCTTTCTAGCTCGATTGGACTCTCTCTCTGGGTAA